AAGAATGGGAACAGATAATGCCCAAATATTCAACAAAAGCAAATGCTTAGATTAAATCATAGAGCTGAAGTTATTAAGAGGGGAGGCAGTGGGCTGAAAAGGTGGATGGGAAACAGTGTACTATTATGAAGGGTTAGGTTATGGAGGTTATGGTGGTTAATGTGGTGTAATCATGTAAATATTAACAGTAGTATAAACCACAATTTGAAAAAAGAGATGATCGCAGGTACTCTGTGGGTCTTCATTGTAATAGGCTGGAAGGTTAAATAATACATGAAATTTATTTTTGACTTTTTGCTTGTCAAGTTACTCGGCATATTTAGGTGAATCTCATTTTTAGAAATATATAGATTATTAACTTTCTGTTTTTCCTTTCTCAAATTTTTGATATGCATCTACAATTTTTGTAGGATTAAATCATATTTAGTGGGATGATATTAAAGAGTTTGAAAGTTTGAAGGCATTTTATAAATGCAAATTATTATGAAATAAAGTCTCAAAGGATGATAAACATTTTTAAGTAAACTCAGCTTTATGATTTGTTGGTTCTAGAGTTTTCCTACCTGATAGCTCCATTTTGTAGATGAGAAACCGAGGTCCAGTGAGGTGAAATTCTGGAGGTTATCAAGTTTTCCAGTATTCCAGTATTCCATATTGCGCCATTTGTGGTTAGAAATTGCATTTCAAATCTTTGTGATTTCTGTAACATTTGCCTATATTGGTTTATTCAGTTGCAGTTTTTCAGGCAATATTCTTTTTTCTCACACTCAAACTTTTGTATTCCCATGGCACAATTTCAACTTAGTCTCTATGTCTGCAAAACACTGCATTATCTTGTGGGTTTTATCAAATAGTGGTATCTAAATAGTATATTTATATTTCATCCAACCAGAAAAATATTTGGCTAATTAGAATCAGAATTAATCATATAAGATAAAGAAAAAGAAACAGAGATAAAATAAGGTAATGTTTTTTCTTATCTGAGCTATTTTGATATCCGATTCATCTTCAAAATTATGGTTTTATACAGGGACATAAATTAACTGTGTAATTTAACTTATTAATCAGAAAACCAACAATAGTGCTAATATATAACTGACAAGTCAATAAAATGGAAACTTGAAATAGCAAGAATTCAATAAAATGAAAACTTGAAGGGCTGAAGCAATGCAATAGCACAGCGGGTAGGGCATTTGTCTTGCACACGGCCTACCCAGGTTCTATTTCCAGCATCCCATATGGCCCCCTGAGCACTGCCAGGAGTAATTTCTGAGTGCATGAGCCAGGAGTAACCTCTGTGCATCGCCGGGTGTGTCCCAAAAAGGCAAAAAAAAAAAAAAGAAAAGAAAAGAAAACCTTAAATAGCAAGGCATTGTAGGTGATCTGGACCTAAAGGAGCAAATTAATGAATTTCTTTCTTCCTAGGAAGAAGTTTAACAAATAACAATGCTGCTCCTGGCCAGACTCCTCTGCTTGGGTCAAATCTCATCCAGAAATTAATCTGGTGAAAAACTCAGGTATTGCGGGTCTTGTGATCTCCAGGCTTCCACAGAGTCAGGAATGGGCTGTTTTCCACCACCAACCTGTACTCCTAGAAGTCCTGGCAGTCATGGACATGCCCCAAAGCCACTACCCAGTTGAAATTTTAATTCCAACTATATCACCTGTTAAAAATTTTGGACTTCCTCGAGCGACGTCCCAAACTCTGTAACACTAATAAACCAGAAGCAGCACACCAGATTGGATGAGATGTAACATAGGAGGTAACCAATCTCGATGAACAAAATATAAACACAGAAGGATTAGCTTGTAGCAACATCTTAGTAATCTCTTATACAAGGACTTAATGTATCCAGGAGGTACAAAAGTCTTCACTGACTTATTTCAAAGAAAACATTTTTTGACCATTCTTTTAGCAAATTATTTATAACAAGCAATATAAAATAAATTATTGAGAGCCTGGTATGCAGGCAGACTTAAAGGTTGGTTGGGAAAATTAGATTTAACGGTGGTGGGAAGGTGCAATGGTGGTGGGATTGGTGTTGGCATAATGAATATCTGTAACAAATCGTCATAAACAACTTTGTAAAATAAATAAGTAAACACTTTGAAAATATATTAAAAACTGAATAAATAATGACGGTAACCCATATTTTTTCAATCCTTAGTATCCATTTCCCATTCTAGACTTATGTTGCTACCATTTTTGACTTTACAAAAATAAGTTACAGTTTGGGGGCATCAAGTTTAAATGAGATCCTAAATAAAGCTTATAGTACAGTTACTATAATATAGTATGTTTTAACAAAATACTAATTTTTTCTGTCTTACTTCATAAGAGATATCACAGCTTCTCTTAGAAAATATATCTTTGACACCCACATCCCACTGCCACCAGGATGATCTTGGGAGAGGGGCTGGCCAAGTTCCCTTTCTACCAAAGCTCCAGTAGCAGCACTTTCACCACAACAATCAACTCTTTGGGGACTGAAATCTCTGGGTATTTTAGGAATTGGGATGGGTAACCTCTCCAGACCTCCCTATACTTCTGGAAGCCCTAGCGGCCACACCCATGTCTCATCACCATCACCATGTAAGCTCATCTACTGACTCTGTTCCAGAGATACATAAATCTCGAAAGAGATCAACGAGCTGCAAATATTTCTTGGTTACCTAGTTACAGCCAAGACCTTCAGGAAGGGGTGGGTCAAATTCTGGCCCTACCAAAGCCCAGGAGTGAATTTCTACACATGAATGAATGATGCAACCAAAGAATCTAAAATTCACAATTCCTCTTATAGGAGTGTAATGAACTCAACTAAAGATAAAGATAGAACTGGAAAACACAAGAGATGCTAGGGGATTGAAAATATACATACAAGTGCCTTAACTTATAAGAAGTTGATAAGAGAATAAATACGGGCTCTGCTAGGTCATGTAAAGGTTCATGCAGTCAGGGTCCCAGGTCCAAGGAATATACTGAAGGAAGCGTGGGCAGAGGCACAAATGACAGATTTGAGCCTGTCTCATGATGAGCCAGCATAGAGCCTTCAGAGCATGACTTCCAGAACCACAACAGACTCCAACACTTTCCACAGAGATGGGGAGGAAGCTGCTAGAACAAACACTAAACTGAAATTTGCCCCAAATATGAACCTAATCAAACCCCAATGCTTTCCTGAGGTTAGAAAAAAGCCCAACTGAGCATTTTATAAACAATATCTGTTTGCCTTTTGTCCCCTCTGTGCAGCCAGAAGTGGAAGTTCTAAAACCCATTAAAAAGTTTGGGTTTTATTTTGTATTTATTTCTTTACTATATGCTTTTCCTAGCCAAAACCAGAAAATGCTGGAACAGCATAAGTTCATTCTCCTGAGATATCCAAATCAAAGTCATTTGGAACTGCTTTGGCTAAGCATATGAATTTTTCCATTCTTATCCAAACCAATGTTCAGTCCCTTGCAATTTACTTATATGTATCCACCTTCTCAAGTGTTTTGAGGTATTTCTTTCAGCATACATGTTGGCCTTTAAAGGCTATCAAGCAATTGTGTGCTGGCAAAAGCTGTATGAGTTCGTAGCTCAATACCATCATCTAACAGAGCAAGCAGAAGTTCTGGCAACTTTGTCAGCTCTATTTTCCATACAAAGGCAAATATAGGAAAATTTAGAGAGGAAATGTCTGAGATCTTTTGCATAGTTATTTATTATATTCTACTTTATTTTATGTTATTAAATTTTCTCCCTCTTAAGTTTAGAAATCACTTTGGCCAAGTAAAATTTTAAGGCAATTCATATAACCTAGCCATCAACTTTACAAGGAAACTAGTCACATTTCTTTCTAAAGACCATGGGGACAGAGGTTCCTTTGGTTAAACTTGCACTATCAGGAAAAAAATGCATTTTTATTGAGGGGCACAATTTCTATTTATAGAAGCCCTAAATGTCACCTTATTTTAAATTACTTGTATGTGTGAATATATTACCTCTCAGGAAATTCTTGAATATAATAGTAAGTTCAATGCCACGATCTTAATCATTTTGTGTTTTCAGTGGGGGCATACTTAGTGGTGTTGTGCTTGCTCTTGGCTCTGTACTCAAGGATCATTCCGGGTGGGGCTCAGGGGCCCATATGGGTTCTAGGGATCAAACCCCAAGTTTGTTACAGACAAGGCAAGTACCCTATCTGCAGTACTACTTCTCTAGCACCTACCACAATCTTAACCTTATCTTCTTAAAAAAATATCTGTTTATCTATTGTAGACTTTTCCCTTATAATTTCTCACTTGATTTTCTTTAGTTTTTAATGGTTTTATGGAACTTCTACTATTGGTGGCATACAGGGGACATAAACAGGCAAAAGGGTGACAGAGTTTATAATACTAAAAAATCAGGCCTCAGAGAACTTTTCTATCTAAGCAGTCGGATGAAGAAAATGCATGATACTGTCCTACTCAAAGAAGCAAAGAAAATGTCATGGAATGCCCATTGTTGCTTGTGACTGTTTTAATCCCAGCTCCTCTTCGGGTAATAATAGATTTTAATTGCTTAAGGATAGCACACAACTTTGGCTGCACCTGCATACTTGTTTGATATTATGTTCATTAGCACAATCATTTTCTAATACCAAAGAAAAAACATTTTTATGATCATGTTGATATAGGTCTAAAGTCAGCATCCCCCTCTCAGTTTCTGGGGCTTCTAAAATACACAAGTGCTTCTTTAGCTTTATAAACTTCCACCTGCTTTTTCCTTTCATGTAATTCACCTTTGTTCAGTTATTTTTCACCACCCCTGGAGTGTTTTCAAATATATTTCAAACCTCCAAGCAACCCCCAATTCAACTGATTGACTTCAGAGAACTCTAATGCTGGCCAGGCATTTTGCTACAACCCCATTTAGACTCAGCAGGAAGAGCAGATTTAAAAGGCAGATTACGTTTTTAGCTTTTTTAAAACTGCTTTATTAGAGAGGCTAAAAGCCACAGTGGTGGTAAGCTGGATTCTTTTGAAATGCAAGCAACTTCAAGACATCTAGGGAGCAGTCCTTGCCTGTGGAGCTCCTCCCTTTGGGTTTTCACTGATGGCAGAGACCAGCTGGCTCCAAGCATTTTTCTTAAGGGTCCTTGTGGCTCCAACAACAGAACCTATAAAAGCTCCAAAGAGGTTTCATTTAAGGGTCGGAGACCTTTGAAAAACAGCTCACCATGTTCTCCACCCCTGGACTTCTGGCAGGCCATTTTGTGTGAAAGGGTTGGTTACATGCTGGCCTCCATTAATTGTAGGGGTTGGCCAAGGGACAGTAGGTAGAGAACCATGATGAGAATGTAAAAAGCTGCATAGAGAGGAAAAACTGCCTATGGACCTAATTTCTATAGTAGATAAATTAGATAGGTGGGTAGGGATAAATAGGGAGATGGAGGCCATAGCAGTAGCTATGACTCCACATATCATCCTGAACAAGTTATGAACACTTCCCCTTCCATCTGTTTAAGACTACCTTGAACTATACAGGAAACTTCTTGTAAAGTGGTTGAGGATTTATATGAAGAAGGCTGGCTTAATGAGATTTCTAGAAAGCTAATGAAATTTCTTAAGCAAAGTTCATTGTGGAACAAAATCAACATTACAGGTTGTTTTATTTTGTTGTTGATGTTGTTGTTTTCCTTTTTGGGTCACACCCAGCAATGCTCAAGGGTTACTCCTTGCTTTGCACTCAGCAATTACTCCTGGCGGTGCTCAGGGGACCATATGGGATGCTGGGAATCGAACCCGGGTCAGCCGTGTGCGAGGCAAACACCCTACCTGCTACACTATCATTCCAGCTACTACAGGTTTTAAGAACATTGCTAAAGTGCACTGGAAGGATCAGGCTGGATCCTATTGATAAGCAACATACAACCTTAAGCTAAAGAGCTGAATAATCAGAGAAGGTAAGTAGATGCCACAGGGTGGCTACCCACTCCCTCCGCAACCCAAAGAGCATCAGAAACTCATCATAACTTTTATGCCACACCTCCAGACAGATTTAGGATTCCTTCCCTGCAGCGGACTCCTATAATCCTGGATTTGATGGAAAATTCTTTCAAAGTGTATATGGATTACTTTAGAAGCCAGTAAACATTCCTATGGGTGAAACAAACAAGTGACCAGATCCCAGGGAGCTGTAGAACGGAAGCTAACGGAACGACAACTGTATGCATCTTGTGAGCACGGCAGGAGGGATACCAGCTCCAACACTACCCCACAGAAATCTGGGGGAAACATGCCAGCGGATTTTTCAATAGTAAATAAAAATCCAATTTTTTAAACTTGGATTCTGTTGGATTTTCAGTGTTGAATCCATTAGAAGGATGGATAGTGTATTAATGCCACGTGGGTCAAATCAATTACAAATGCAGAAAAAGTAAAATAAAGATACACCTGGCAAGTCATTGTCATCTCTAGGTTTAGATCAATTGAAAGGAGATTCCAATTTGCTCTTATCTTGCCTGAACTATCTTGCTACCATTTGTAGCTTAAAAACAAAGGAAAGCCATCTCACGGGGCTTGAAGAGGGCATGTAACAAATTGCAGAAAATTACAGTCAACGGTTTGTGGCTGCAGATCTCTCCGCTGTAATACACTAAGAAGTCCTGAAAAAATAGTCAAACTTCAAAGATCAAAGTTTCCACAGCTACAGAGCGGACCTTTCAACTAACTTACTTTTGTCTAGCTCCTCCCCCACCCCAGCCCCTTTTTTTTGTCAATCACAAACAGTTGTCCCAGGACTCAGCTTCTGACATTATCAGAGCCTAAAGGCAATGTCAGAGTCTGTCTGCCCTGAGCTTGCTTCAGCATTCCTCCCCTCTCCAGCCTGGGTGTCCCTTTGGGCTGTTTACATACGATTTCCTCTGGGTGGAACTTTGTTTTTCCTTTCCTTCTTTTGAGGCTGTTGTTTTTTCTTAAAATAGGAGGTCATTTCAGGCAGAAATGTGTTTTCGCCCCCTTGCTTCCTCTACAGCTGGGACTGGGGCCCTTTTGGAAAGAAGGAAATTTCCACTTTGTTTACAAGGAGGGGCTGGTTTTCTTTGGATATCCCATGAACTTGCTGGATAGGGAGTTTGGAGTTTCTAAGATTATCTAAGGAGTTCAGGAAACTCATTTAAACGGCATGACAAGTTTTTGTTTACGAAAGGCAATGTGTTTGGTTGTTCCCACTCTTTTTTTCTCTAAGTACTTCATGTTTTTCCAACGCATTTTAGCTACCCATACATATATCAACTCTGTATTTCAGTTCTCTACCTTGTCTTCCCAAGATCTTTCAGCTTTACATGTCAATCCGGATTATTTGACCAACATTCTGGACCAATTTCAGTATGAGTCATGGTTTTATCCTTTGGGTTGGAAAAGTAATTTTCCCCTTCTTTTTAAAAATGTAGCCCTAACCCAATAGTTTTACTGGAAAAGGCAGACTTGGTCATGCATACCTATCTCCACCCCAACCTATCTTCACAGACCACATCTGTCAAACAATCCATACCCCCATTTCTAATGTCAATACACTCCCCAGTGGGTGTGGAATGTTTAGGCGCCTTTGTGAATTTAACCTGAACCTCTAGAAATATATATTCTAAGATAGTATATCCACGGGGGGGGGGGGGGGGGAGGGGAGGGGAATCCAGGAATTTCCAAAGCCAAACAAAAGTAAAATTACTATAGATAAATTTTGTAATGACTTTGGTAGATCTGATACACAAAAAGTACAGCTGGTAGGGTGCGTAACTTATATACGACAGGCCCGGGTTTGATCCCTTGACCACCATATAGCTTCAGGAGTGATCGCGGAAGAGCAGAAGTAAATCCTAAGCCTTGCTGGGTGTGACCAAAAAGACCCAAAATAAATTAGTTAATTAATTTATTCAAGATCATTCCCAGTATGATATGTATTTGAAGAACTGTGATCACTGACAGAGACTACTCAGTAGCCTTACATCAGTGAAAGTAAGCCATCAGATTTTGATTTTGAATATTTTATATACCACTTCACACCACAAATGCTACTATTTATTCCAATCCTAACAAAGGTAAGTAATAAAATTAAGACAGTTGTCCGCTAAAAAGGCTTGAGAACAGAAAATATGTGAGCAGAGGAGTTTAAGGTGGTGTGGTTAGAAACCATAGTCTGGGTAACAGGCAGATGTGGGATGAGTTCTCAGCCACATTGGTACCAGCTGAGTAGCCTTGGGCAAGTTACTCACTTTGTCTGTTTTTCAATTTTTCATCTGTAAAATAAGGATAATGATAGTATCTGCTTCATAGAGTTGTTGTGGACTAATGTGTTAAAGACAAAGTTACCACTAACCCAGTAATAATTCTAAACTTTATAGGGAATTTACTATGGTTTATGAACTACTTTGCCTGAATAAATATATGAAATAGAAATTATTGTTATTACCCTCATTTTATAGTGAGGATATTAAGGGTTCAGAGAGGTTAAGAACATATCCAGGGTCACAAAGCTGCTAAGTAACAAACAAGATTTCAACCCTAATGAACTGGCATTAGCAAGAGTCCTTAAACATTGTGTTGCTTTTATTATTAACATCTTTTGAATGTGCAGTGAGTGTTCACTAATCCAGAGATGTCCTAAAATCATTTCACTACTAACATAATCTCTCAAGTTGCTCCTAACTACAAATACAATAATACAATATAGTAAATGGAGCAGAGATGTTCAAATGGCAATTGGATCTCTATGAAGTAATCACAAAAAGTCTATTAGTCTATTTACTTTCTTACTCTTATTTTTTAGTAATCACACTATTTAGTTACCCTCATTGGGCATTTTTGTCAGCCAGGAAAGTAAATAATATACTTTTCATATTTTTATTTTTGTTTTGGGGCTACACTCAGCTGTGCTCAGGGTTTACTCCTGGATGTACACTTAGGGATCACACCTGGAAGGCTCAGGTGGCCACATGGGGTGCTGGGGATAAAACCTAATGTGCAAGGAAAGTGCCTTACCTCCTATACTATCTCTCAGAAATCTTGCTTCTTGCTTTCTTAATTTTTTTTTAATACTGTACCTTTTTTTTTTCTTCTTGGGCCACACCTGGCAGTGCACAGGGGTTACTCCTGGCTCTACACTCAGGAATTACTCCTGGTGGTGCTCAGGGGACCATATGGAATGCTGGGAATCCAACCTGGGTCAGTCACATGCAAGGCAAATGCCCTACCCAACTGTACCATCACTCCAGCGCCTAATACTGTACTTTTGAAAAAAGATTTACTTTACATTTTAAATAATGTACTTTTAGATATTCACATTTTTAAATAATATACTCTTTTTTACCTCATGAAAGTAAGCCATCAGATCTTGATCTTAATTTTCCAATACCACTCCACACATAAATGCTACTGCTTATTCCAACCCTGAGAACAAATGTATATAATGAAAATAAGATAGGTGTGTGTTCAGACAAGAAGGCTGATCTTTCTCTAATTTCTTAGTCTATTTACTTTCTTACTCTATTTTTTTAAAGGGACCACAGCTAGTGGCATGGGACAGGGAGAGAGGAAGCATGCTAGCAGTGACAGGGATGGACCGCAGAACCCTGTGTGTGCACAGCGTATGCTCTACCACCTGCACTATCTCCTTGTTTTATAACATGCGTCCTAAAATGTTTTCAACAATATAAAAAGATGAAAAGGTTTCTAATGCAATTTCGTATTTAAGCCAACTTAAATTTAGTTGCTTGAAACATCTTGCTCTTTCTAACATTCATTGTGGTTAATTTCGTTTTCTTCTAAAAGAAAATAAGCGCACTACTCCTACATTAATAAAAAAAAAAGCATAAAAGAAAATAAGAGTGCATATTTGGAATTACAGAGTAAAAGAGTGTCAATTCTAAAAGGCAAACATTGATCTAATTTATCTAGGGTTTAGAAAAAGAAAAATTTTATAGTAAACCTTTGGGAAAATCCAAGTAACATTTTTTTTTATTCTGAAAAAATGAAATGAATTGGAATAGTGGGGAGGTATGACATCAAAAATAGAAGCATAAAACAGGGCTAGAAATTTTTCAAGGTAGTCTAATAATCAAGGAATTTAACATCACATGGTATGTTTGCATATTTATTATAATATACTATCCTTGGGCTTGAGCGATAGTACAGCGGTAGGGCATTTGCCTTTCGCGTGGTCAGCCCAGCTGAGCCGGGTTCGATTCCTCCCTCTCTCTCGGAGAACCTGGCAAGCTACTGAGAGTATCTCACCCTCACGGCAATGCCTGGCAAGCTCCCCGTGACATATTCGATATGCCAAACACAGTAACAAGTCTCACAATGGAGACATTACTGGGGCGGCTTGAGCAAATCGATGAACAACAGGAGGACAGTTCTATAGTGCTACTATCCTTAAACATAGTTTATACTTTGTTTTATAGTTTAAAAATGACATTTTGTTTGCACAGAAAAAAACATAGTTAATATTAGATGACAGGGACAAATGGAGACGTTACTGGCGCCCACTCGAGCAAATCGACGACTAACGGGAAGTTAAGTGATTAAGTGATTAATATTAGATGAAGTAATGAATGGAAATAATATAAATGCATTATATATAGAGGAAACTGAGGCTCAGAGAGCCTGAGAGCTTATGGTCTGACATATCAGATAGCCAGTTACTTATACAGCCAGCATTCATCATCTCCTGCTATTTAGATTGGTAGATTAAATCACAATACCTACTAGCACTTTGCTGTGCTTAATTTAACAGTTTACTTACAATAAAGAGGCTTGTTTCCTAAGAGTTGGTAACCAGGAATAATTTCTGTGGGGAAAATTTCCAGGACAAGAGGTGATAATTTGCATGGGTAAACTTCTCATAAACCACCTGAGAAGGCCTTCGGCAGAATTGGAGGGAGAAGAAGATCATTGGCAGGAAAGGGAGTAGTTAGAAAGAGCAAATATTCCATTTTCCCACATCTAACTATGCTCATCCCACATTTCATTTTCCATTACAACTACTGTCTCTCATCTCAAACTGTAGCATTTGAGTCTTAGCCCCACTATTTACAAACCTCTTTTTTAGTTTTTGTTTTCACTTCTTTGCTGTAAACCGTCATTCATAACTAATGATTTTCTAGGGTTGATGTGAAAGTTAAACAAAAGAACCCACATGAAAGCCAAACCTTAATATTGACTCGTGATAAGTATTTTTTTTAAAAATCACCAATTATAATCATGATTATTTTATGCAGAGATAAAAATGGCAGAGTCAAAATTTGAGCCAAGCCTACCAAACTTCAGAAATGATTTTTGTTATTTCAAGCCAAACCGTAGCCCGCTCTAATAAAGACACTATTCATAAACAATCCTGACGTTTCAGTCAGGACACAGGCAGACAATCCGTAGCTGCAGACTTTCAAGTTCCCTTCTTCACAGTGAACTACTAAAATCATACTGACCTTATCAACCCAGTGAAATCTTTCTTCACTGCAGCTCTGAACGGAGGACATGTAATGTGAGTTTTAGCATGTTGTTCTACAACTTTTTCTCAAGCTGACCTTGAATTTCAGAAAAGAAAATTACAGAATTATCCATCTGAAGATGCACTATCAAAAATAAACGGTTCCCCCGTCTTCTGAAACTCTTCTTGCCTGCCCCCCCACTCCCCACCTCCCAGGTGAGACTAATCTTACAAGCTGACACATTGTGGCCTTTTGGGAACTGGAGGCAGATTCTAGTTCCTTCCAAGTGGGTTCCAGCAGCCTCTGTTTTTGACCTCCACCATATCAGCAGGCCCAGCTCCATATCTCTTGAATTTCGAGGCCATGACAATTATGCCCGCATGACAGCTCTACACATATCACACTGCTCACTGATATGTTTCCTGTTACTGGGTGAAACCTCGCAGGGAAGCGAAAGAGCAACAGCTAGACTAATTCCTCAGAGACTCCTAGGAAGGCTAACTACAAAGATTCACCCTCAGCACAGCAGGAGCACAGCAGACCCAATGGAGAAGTTGCTAGAAACCCTAAGCTCAAAGAGTGAAAACAACACAGAAGATTCAACTAGCACCAACCAGCTCAGTAAATTCTCAGTGAATTACTTTAGAGACAGCATGGTGAAAATATTTCATAAGCTTAAAGGACAATGGCAAAACACAAGAAAGTGTGGAAGTTGGAATATGAAAACTACAATCAGAAATGACAGAAAAAAAGAGCATGGCAGATGATAAATTAAAAAAAAAAAACTTGAAAGAAAAAGATCAAGGAGGTCCAGAATGAGGTGAGATGGAAGAAACCTCTAGAAAAAAAAAAAAACAGAAGATGGAAAAAACTTAGAAATGAAAGCATAGCAGAGAAATATGAGATGCATTAAAGATAAACAATATAAGAATCATCAGAGTCCTTGAAGAACAGGAAGGCAAATTAAATTGAAAACCAATAGTTAAAGAAAAAGGTAAGAATTTCCCAGAATTGAATACAACACTCAGATCTGAAGGCTCCTGAGGAATCCCAGAGAAAATAGACTCAAATGAAAAACAACTCCAAGACACATTGTACTTAGAATGACAAAATCCAAAATCAGGCAGAATATTGAAAGTAACAAGATTAAAAGAACTTACATACAAAATAAAGCCTGTAAGATTCACAAGATATCTATCAAATGAGAATCAATGAGTCAGAACAGAATGGAGGCACACAGTGAAAAACAAACAGAAAACCAACTTCAGTGAAATGAACATCACACCTAGAAGAGTCTAACCAGTTACATTATCATTCAGATTTGAAGGAATGATGCTGAGTTTCATGGATAGGCAACAGTTTAGAGAATTCTTTGCCTTGAAATCTGCTCTGCAAAAAGCATTAAAGGTGCATTTTTAAAAAGACAATATAGGGGTCCAGTGATGGGACAGCTAGTGAGTGTTTGCCTTGCACACTACCAACCCAGGTTTGATCCTTGGCATTATATTTGGTCCTCCAAATCCCTCCAGGAGTGATCCCTGAGGCAGAGCTAGGAGTAATCCCTGAGCAATCATGGGTGTGCCCCCTTAAAAAAGATAAGACGAACTTCTCACCTTTTGACATTGAGTATGCATTTACACAAGGCACTATGGTTTCTCGCTACTAAAGAATTTTAGACCTTTCCAACAATGAATTAAAGTTTCATTTATATTAAAGATTCTATGTTTGATCAGGTGTTTTGTTTAAATTACATCCTCTGTAGACAGTTTTATTACAATATTTTACTTACTAAAGCATTTATTTAAACAGTATCTATTTATAAAATTTCTTAACATAAAATCAATATTTCCTTTCTAAAGGATATAACACTTTTAACTTTCATAGGCCTATTCAGATTTCCCCCCTTAAAATGTTCTTAGTTCTCTTCCCTCTTACTAAATTTTACATTTGTTGGATTTATCTTTTTCATGCAAATTTTAAATGTATTAGCACAAAATTATTCATAAAATTAATTTTTAATTTGTATACATGTACAAAAAGAGACACAATTTTTTAGAAAATGTATTTTATCATCTTAAAAAAGAAGGAAACCTTGACTGCTCTTTTGAGGGCTGCCATACCTGTAAGGACAAAGGAAAGTCCAGATTGCCTCCTATCCCGATGACCACTTCCAATGGAGTCCTAGTTCAACAAGTCTTTCTGGTTTTCTGGGAGTCTATGCTGAAGGAAGAGAGAGGCAGAAGACATAAATATATATTTTAACTTTTCCACACCCTTAGTCATTGGTGCCAAGGTGGTTAATGTGGTCATTATCAAGGAATCCCTTCTTTTGTAAACTAAGAGGAAGGTTCTCAGAGTACACAAAGATGTTTCCACTCCAGGTCAATTCAGCTTAATAATGACGTTCTATTAATATAGACATTTTCCTTCCGCTACCAAAACAACAACGAAGGTTTCTGTGTGTTAACAACATAGACTTAAAAACGAAAACAACAGATGTAGGGAGAAAGTACAGTGGTGAGAGCACATCCCTAGCACAGGCCTCACCCTGGTTCAATTCCTAATGCTGCACGTCCCCTGAGCAGCTCTGAGTGCAGCCCTTGGAGACTCCAGCACAGCCAGGATGGCCTGAATATCCTGGTCTCACCAGCCCAAGCTGCATCACATTCTCTGACCCCTGCTCCTGCCCAGGCAGAGAAACCCTCCCCGGTGGTAAGCCTGGGTTTCTGCTCTACCTCCAAAAGTAAACAAAATTCTGTGTTTGAAAAATAAAACTTTTTTGGGTACAGCCCCCAGAAGCACTCAAATATAAACAAATGCATGCCCTTCTCCTGCCATCTTCAGCATCCACCGCTTCCTGTGCTGCGTCTGTTTTGGCATCTCCTTTTCCTGCAGTGCTATTCCCACCCTTGCCTGTGTCTGCTTTCCCTTTTTGATTCTTGTCATTCTTTGCTGGGGCCTTTTTAGATGGCACAGGCTTTGGAGGAGTAAGTTTGAAAGAAAACCTTACAGGTTGTGTAGTTCATCCTTCACCTTGCTTTTATATCCCTGAGTGTCTGCTTCAACTTTGGGCACGGTGGCAACGACAGTGGGACATGGTGAATGCAGAGGGGCAGGGTTTTGGGTGGGATAGGGAGTCATTCCTGTATTTTTACACTGCTCATCGGTAACCATACTTTTTTTTTTACTTAAAACTCTTTCATTTAAAATGGGGGGGGGGGGGGCAGTTATTATGAATAACCACAATGCATTGTAGCACTGTCCTCAATATACTCAAGAGGGTCCAGTAACATCTCCATTGTGAGATTTGTTGTTACTCTGTTTGGCATATCGAATACGTCACAGGTAGCTTGCTAGGCTTTGCCGTGTGGGCAAGATACTGTAGGTAACTTGCCAGGCTCTCTGAGAGGGGCAGAGAAATTGAACCCTGATCAGCCGGGCCAACCACTTGCAAGGCAAACGCCCTACCACTGGACTATAATAACCATAATAGTAACTTGAAAATATTATTTAAAGTTAAATAAAATGAATTCAATGAGATTAAAATGAATAACACAAGAATGCCATACTCAATGTCAAAATTTAAAAACATCAAGTACATCCAGATGGGCTCAGATTTATTCCTGGATCTGTATTCCGGGATCACTACTGGTGGTACTCAGGGGTCATCTATGGTGCTGGGGATCTAACAGCAAGGTTGGCCTTGTGCAAGGCAAATGCTTTATTCCCAGTTTTAACTCTCTAGCTTCCAAAGACCAAGATATTAACCATAATTCCATATTTCCTTTTTACTTTCTCTGTCTATCCATCTGAAATATACTTTCCCTAGATACCCTTCAAGATATTCCCCTTCCTCTCTCCATTTAGGCCCCTTTTCAAACACCATTTCCTATGAATGGGTGAACTGCCCTGTCTGTCTGATCTAAAATAGCACTTCTTCTGACTCTCTATGCCTCTAATCTGACTTTTTAATATGGTGCTCCTTTTAGCCTGATTATGGTATTGAATGTTTATTTGACTATTCATGTAATGTCCCTGGTAAGATCAATAGAAACATATTTAACCACCATACTATCTCATACCAAAGCTGAATGAGTGGTGTCAAGTCTCTGGGCATTTATACTGAGTGTCTCACCATCTCACTAAGGTGTTGACTTCTCTGCTAAGTCAGTCTAATAGCAGTCTAATAATCTAACCAGCCCTAATACAATGTTTTATACATAGCTCATAAAATCAAATGATAAATTTCAGAAAACCATTTCAAGAAAGTTTTAATGCTCAACCCCACTAGCTCTATGAAATCAGAACTGTCATTTTCTAGTGGGTAACATTTCCCAGAGGACTGCAGAGAAAGTACATTTTTCACTCAAAGTACTTTTCTTCTAGACATATGTATTCCCAGGAGTAAATTGAGGAAGTAGATTCCTCAAAATTGATAAAGATCTTGGGAGCGTGTAAAGCAAAATAGGCCCTCAGCCTCATTCAGTGTAAACTGCTGGACTATATCTCCCAGGTGTGAGCCATTAATCAATCCCATTAAGTTATAATTCTCTGCTAAGCTAAGAAAACACAACCCAAACAGTAGCAAACATTTTCTCCCCTCTGCCACTTATCCCTAAATATGAAGGGCAGCTTTCTAAAAACTTCAGTCTTCTTAAGATTAGCAGGTCTGCAAAATATCCATCAGATTTGTCCAGAAAAAAAAAATGTGCCAAATTCGATGAAGTGAGAGACCACTGTTTGATTCTGACCACTCACACTCAAAGCTATTGCCATTGCCCAGATAAAGCAACGCAGAGCAACACAGGATGACATGACTAAAATAAAACAAATCATTTACAATGTGATTTCCTGCTGAACAGTGTTGTAAGCCATCCCGTGGTGTATAGTTGTTAGCTAACACAGAACAGACCCCTAGGCTCTTGAATACCAAATCCTTTTATATGACAAATGACATTGTGTGTGTGTTAATGGATGGTGACCACAGTAAAATGGCATGATATAATAGAAACATCAATGGTTACAGCAGAGGAAGACAACACTGTACTTCATCAGAAAAGCTTAGCTTGATCAGATGTGATGGACCAAAGGGATAAATGGCTACTGGGGCTGTCAAATCTACACTCAGCTGAAGGGCATAGCAAGTGTTCAAGGTGGCTTATGTAAAGAGTAACACAATGAAACATAATTTATCAAGTGTCTGGCACATACAACCTTAAGGATTAGAGGTTAAAGAGCTAAAGATGCATCAAGATACATTTCTGCTGTTAAGAGTAGGAATGTACTGATTTAAATGTGACGTCATTTAATTT